TTTCGGCCGGTTTCAGCTTCGTGTTTCGAGCTCAGACCCCTGCAGACCTCACATTGTCATTGATCCAAAGCCACTCCCCAAGTACTTCCGAGTCCTTCGCTCTCTGTACTGTTCAAAATGAGGTGCTTGTAGATTTACACTGCCTTGATCACCAGTGGCCCCAAAGGGGTCTTCCTTACCGTGTCCAGTGCATATCCCACCGCTGACGAGTTTGACTGTCGCGTGTCATTCATCTGCGTCTCTTGGTGGTTCTTTTGTGCTCCGCTTGTGCTCAGCAATTCTGAGTACATGTCCTCGCAAGCACTTCTAGTCAACATTCAACGCTAGTTTGATCTACCAGTTGGAAGACAGTTTGTTGATCGCCTCTGCGTCTTTCTAAAACGGTTTGTCGTGTACCTATGAACAAACCTTCAGTCGTCAGTTGCAGTCCTCCAGTAGATGCAGTAGCAGGAACGCTGGATTCTGTTTCACAATGCATCTACGTGGTACAACTTCACTTGTGATGTTTGTCTATCATTTATGCGCGAACTGAACAATTCACAATTTATTTAGCTTAGTTGAAGTTTAAGCAGAAAGACCATCCCAGATAGCTTATAGAATGACCGTTTGAGATTACTGTGGGACATTCTCTTTTTGTGTTGATTGTTAGAAACTTGCGAATTATTTTCCCCTTTTCCCCGCACAAAATCAGTCTGTATGCTGGAGTTATCGCGTCTAACTGTGTGCTGCACGCATATTCAACCTTTCGGCAACTGGTCAGCTTAGTGACCAACCTTGATGGATTGTTTCTTTTGCGTTGATATTTTCGTTAGAACGTAGTTTTGTTGATCTGGCGAAATTATTCTTCCAGAATATATGAACTACGAGGGAACAAAGTTTTCAAAGAGTCGCGGGATTGGTGTATTTGGTGACGGTGCCATGAGTTCGGGGATTCATTCAAACGTGTGGCGATTCTACCTGCTCTACCGGAGACCGGAAACTCAGGTAAGCAGTAACGTGTATAGACTTTCACAACTACGTCATTGGCGCCCGATCATCTTTGCTTCCTTCGTACTTACTCAGTCCGAGACACTGTAAATATTAGTTGGGTTTTGTATAAGCTGACCGTTCCAAGTCAATAAACAGCATATTCACTGCCTATTGGTCCCATGCTTTTACCACTCTACTTGCTGCTGGTCCACCCAATGCTCATCCGTAATTTCATCTGCATCTGATCCCCAGTATTTCCATACTTTAACTATGCTCTCAGTTTAACTGAGTGTGTGTATCTGAATATTGTCCAATCCTCCATTACTTAGGCGAACTGGATTGGAAGTTTCTCATTTTTGGAGACAGTCGATTACTACATGGGTAGACCATTATGTACTGTCGGATTTTACATGACAAGCAGCTCTTGTGAATGAGACACGTGTTTGACGCCTTCCAGTATATGGTCCGTGATATGTTTTTCTTCCGACTCGTGTCTGTTCCTATGTTTATGCGTGATGCTGAATCTGAGACTTCTCCGGAATCCCTATAGCTCGATTTACATTTTGCAAATCTGACATTAGTAACAGCCTCCATCAGTTTACCTGCTTTCCGAACTGCTTGGAAAATGTTACTATGGCAACTATTACGCAACCATTGAAGAACTATATGTGTGTGCACAAGTTTACTGTTTTCATTCACTTACAGGATAGCGCTTTTGTGTGGGATGACTTTATGCTTGTGACCAACTGCGAATTGCTGAACAATTTGGGCAACTTCATCAACCGGTTAGTTTCATACGGCGTCTTTCCTGGTTCTGTGCATTTTTGCATTCTGCTGACAAAACACCCCTCTGTTCTTATTATGGAAGAATATTAAGCCATTATTTCTGTCTAACTTGTGTCAAGGCTTCAGAGTCTTTCATCACCGAGTTTTCACGGTCGTCCATTAGTAATTCATTTCAAAAAATTTCGGCGTTATTTGTCTCGACCTGGTACACTGGGCGTTAAGGCCATAATTGTAGCACGCAAATCCCCCTGTCTGTAATGCTGGAAGTCATTCGGAATCCCAGAAACCGATACAAACGTTACAGACTTAAAAGAATCTACCTTCCTTCAGCACTCGGGTGAATTACCTGCAGGCTGCAAAATCCATCGGTGATCTTCAGTTACGTGCTTCTCGGCTTTTCAGCATAGATTGGCTCCACTCACAGGACGAAATCTCCACACAAAAATCTCAAATCTCCTCACACTACCAACAACGTCTACTCGTTGCCTGGGAAGATGAACAAATTGTATGAATTACTGAGAATATCGAAACACTAGTTCTGTGGAAAAGCTGATTACTTGATGCGATGAAAGATACGGTCATTTGGGAGAATTGTTGCAATCTACTCCGATCGTCATCATCGATGACAGTGATTCACTGGTGATACATGCTGTCGCACAATCATGATGGAAGAGGGCATTAACAAAGAGTAGAAAGGAAAGGGTAGGGAATTGGTGCGAAAAAGTCCCATGTCCTTTAGTAAAACTGTCAGGAATGTGACGCGTACACCTTGAGCCAGCATTATTATGAATACATCTGAGCATTTTGTCGAGTTAAGACACCCTCTAGGGGGCCTTTACGAACCTCACTCGACATAATCCCAACGCGCAACGACGGGCGAACTTTAGCTTATCAACACAATTAGAAATGACTGCGCACGTCACTTGCCCAGTCGTGTGCCATGTGTTGCAGGTTTTTTAGCAGCATGCACAGAGGATTACATGGGCCCTCGGCAAGAAGACCCCGCAGTATTCGGTTTGACTGAACCCACCTTCACTTGAAGTTTCCATTTCGTGGCCTGTCTCCAGCGAACCTTTAACGAACAATCGCTCAGAACGGAAAACACCGTTTCCCTGGGTAGACGGTGGTCGAGCATGTGTAGTACACGCCCCAGCTGCCTTATCCTGTTAAATTTCATGTATCGTTCTAATGGCTCAGAGTTGTCGCAAAGTTCCTGCTTAATCACCATTTAATTGTTTATTTTCTGCAGCCAGCTAACTCGTGGTTTGCTGCGAAGATCGAACGCCAAAAGAAGTCTAGGGTCTTCAGCTCGACAGCGATGGCCAGTGTAAGACTACTGGAGTAGTCCCACTTTCAAGGAATAAATAGCTGCATCTCTCAAGCTCTCAACCCACATTACTAGTAGCCTACGTTTGTAAAACCTCTATCCACTGACTTGACTGTTAGGAGACTCTGTGAATGTCTCCTGGACATGCTTCAGTACGACTCCATAGGTTACTGAATCACCCAAACCGTCGCATCACGATAAGACGCATTCTTTTCTTCTCTGCTTCTGGCGAACCCTCCTGGCCTTCATTATGGGAGCAGTAGACTCTTCACTATGTAAACCGGAAATGTTCGTGCTGTTTGCATTCGCCTCTTAGTATTCCCTCAAGAACCGCCAACTGTTTGGTATTAAAAGCCAAACCCAGATTCCTGATTGGCTATTACTCCTTTCATTCAAAGCCCAATGAGTAGTCTTATGCTTAATGATGTTTAGACTGTTATGAGCGTCCCATATTTTCCCACACTGGATGTATTGTTCTCAAAACTACTTGGGAAGGACCCCGGCCTATTTCAAGGTCAGTGGAACATGTTTTAAGATGTAGTGGACTATCAAGTGATTTTCTCGTCTGGGAATAATGATGCGTGCTCGGATTTTCATTTCAGAGTCCTTCCGGTTGTCCAATACATTCTTCCCTCCGTTTTATTTTAAGCCGTTTCGACCACTAGAACACTATCTGAATCCAAATTTCTTTGTCTTTTCTGATGAATACTGTGATTTTTGTCTCCTCTATACGTCCGCTGATAGTACTGTGGCTAAGTCTCCTTGTTTGATCAATCCTTTCTTTTTCAACACCTTACGTTTTTCATTATACACTTTAAGCGCCGTTACTTGAGGTTGCTCTAATTTCTACGCCACAAATTCAGTCTCTGGTACATGAAGCCTTAGTTGACTTGGTTGTTGTGTACGTGACTTGTCACAAGCTCGTACTAGTCAAACAAAAATTGCGTTGTCACGGTGTTTCAAACCTTCTCTTATCATGTACTGGCCAGCTTCTCCAAGGGCAATCCACTGTGAAATGGTCCACCTTCTGTCTCTCGAAGATGCAAAAGCAAACTACCATTCAACTATGTCGATGCTTCAATAGGCGAGGGAGGCGATATCATATGTCACAAATCCACGAGAAACTCTGCAATTAAATCCAAAATGCTAATGCTTGCGGGTACCAAGGGAATGCACGTTGCCATGTGAGCGATTTCTTACAGAGGCATCTGGGTTGTTTGATCTAGTTTCGTCTGAAACGCAAAGCGGAATCGCTGCTTCTATGAGGTACGCGGCGAACGTTTTCTCAAGGGTTTTTTTCACAATTCAAAGGCTGAAAGTTGACGCTTGGTTTGCACTTACAAGTAATCGGTGTTATGTCTTGAAAACGCAGCTTAATCGTGATTTCAAACCGTCGTCAGGCTGTGCATGAATACTGGTTTCGAAATGGTTCAGCGATGATTGTCATATCGCGTTGGTGCTTACTGAAAATACACGTTAGCCATTCGCCATTAGTGCGCGCATTGAAATGGCTGCACGTTCCTGCGCATAGGTCGATCATAAATTCAAATAACCCCTTGTGCATCTCCATTCCGAAGACGATCGAATTCGATAGGATATCCTAGGAGAAAATGAAAGTTCAGAAGTGACTTTTTGACTACACGGCATAACGGAAACAAAAAATAAGATAACTGCCTTACTAAGTTTGCTAGCAAAGTTCTTGTTCAAACTCGAATCCCTCACTCTCACCGTCCAAGTAGGGAAACATGATAATACATACATTCTCAGCGTTACTCTAAAGAACTATCCTAAACATGGCTCTACATTGACCCCACTTCTCTAGAATGACACTTATCTACCGATGTGTTTTTAACACCAATAGTTCAATGGTTAGTGCGCAGCCGGATCGATAAACAATCCCGCATTTACTGTAATCTCCTCACAAACAATCTTGACAAAAACCAGTCAGATATCGAATGCCTTTTCGATGCACGGAAACCCCATCAAGACGTTTTTTCGCCCAACGTCCTTTGACTAAGTCACTCACCACATAAAGATTGTGCGAAATGACTGCTCGCCGAGAGTGCTAGAATGGATTGCCTAATTGTCTAGACGTAAAGCACTCTACTATGTTGCAGTCGGTGAACAACTTCCACTTATCAGATAGAAAGCAATGTATTGTACTATCACTCACTCCATTGCGGATTCTAAGGTCATTTACCAACGATTTCCGCCAGAATGTCACGTACCCTTTCCAGGTTGCAGCACGGAATCAGCTAGCGTGAAGCAGAAGCCGTATAACTGCTTTGATGCGATGGCATGTCAAACCGTGTCACTTGTCGCCGGTTTTGATGGAGCCATTTTTCCAAACATTCACCAGTTGCTTTATGTAATTCAAGGGTTCGAACAGTTCTGTACGGTTCGGTGTGCTCTTAAGCACGTCCGTTTTGCGGACTTCAGCGGCGATATCGGGCTTGTGCCACAATCCTCTAACAACTATCTTCGTAATATGCAGACTGCGTCCGTGGAGTAGTCACGTGGTGTTGGTCACTACGATCCTTTTGTTTCAAAGGTGAACGGAAACAACGACAGTTTCCAGTTGCAAGTGGTGTTATTCGGCGATAAACGGGCCACTGAGCCAAACTTTCCGGTTGATTTGGTCGACTGCATTGTCGCCACATAACTGTGCTTTAGGTGTTGTCTACTTTCCTCTAGTTGCGTCATCCGTCATCATATTCAATTACTTGAGTGGTCCGCATTCCTTGAAATAACTACCACTGACGCATCTTCCTCTCACCTCTTCTTTTCTTCCACCCATAGTGCTCTGGCTTTCGTTGCTCGCTTCTTCAATGGTAAAATCCCAAATATGGATGGACTGGATCCCAGCGACGTTGAATTCCTGGCCCAGGTCGCTCAACTGATAAGATCGTACGCAATGCATATGGAAGCCGGCCGTTTGCGCGAAGGACTTCGACAAATTTTAGCAATTTCGCGTCTCGGAAACGTGTATTTTCAAGTTAACCAACCCTGGGTTGCGATCAAGAAAGAAGAGACGAAGTGAGACACGGTCATCTTTATGCTTAAGTCGGTCGTTGGTATCACTTTGGTAGTGGTTTGTCTTCGATCAGCTCTAGATTCTATACTTACCAGCACCCTGTATTTTTCGGACAGTGTGGATTTCCATAAAAAAAACAAGAGGAAATTGGAGCAGATTTGTTCGGAAAATCGCTAGAACGGCCACGTTTTTTGGCTGGCCTGCATTCCGCCAATCGATATTTAGAGAAAATCGAATCTTAATGAGTCAGGCAATCCTTTGCAAAGTAATAACCGTTCACCACTCTGGAATACATGATCTTGAGATTTCTAGTTAATCACCTTTGATCAGCGCAACTCACGCCATCAAGTTGAGTCTATCTTCTGCTGTTCATACTTGGGCGCCGAAAAGGCATTGCAGTTGAATGATTGTTTTTAGAGGGTAGTCTGCTTCTTTGTAATGTTCTCTCTCCCTTTTATACTGAAAATTCACCTTCGGGTGCATATAGCTTTACTTGCATTCACTAGATCATATATCATGAAGCGAATCTACAAACATCAGTGGTACTGCAGCAACCCTGTTGTTCAGCTGGGCAAATGGAAACGACGTTGTGCATTGTCACCGATTTCACATGTGGACGACGACTGAGTGAAGAAAGTACTAGTAGTTGACACTGATGGCACCAGCTGTAGGAAACGTGATGAAATTGAGTCCGGGACTGCGTGTGCTTGACACGCCTACATTTAGTGACTTCCGTTGTGTGTGTGAAGCCGATCGACGGATGCGTCAACAAAGTTCTCCTGGGACTTGGATGAATCTGACAAACGTTGACTTCACTGGGCTTGATTAAGGCAATCGATCCACGCTTGGTATTTTGCGTTGCGCTAAAATTAATCTTAACGGACAAGTTGAAATCAGATAATCAGTACTTTCGCTTTCTTGCATTTTTGACTAACATACGTAATAAGATGGAGGTGAATTTGCGAGTTCCAATAGAGGAACAGTACCGGAATTGCGGACAGTTTCAGCCAGTAAGACGTGGGCTCATGGTATGGTGGAACTGAAGGGGAAGGGGAACTCTAATATTGTGATCAGTTTCGTGTGCCTAGCACAAAGTAGAAGGCTTCTGTGCCTTGTCACCATACCGCGTATATTCAGGATGATGGAAAAGAGCGACGCTATTATGGATTCTGTGTCACCTCGAAAATCGTCTTTACCGAATTGTGACTTCCTGCTGTAGACCCCACTATGGCAGTCGATCTCAAGGTAGTTCAGTGGCTAGTCGTTCAGCTGTAGCACCCTTTCGGTGCCTAGCTACCTTGTTAACGGAAGGAGGCATGAGGACTGGGATACTACTGCCTCGAGCTCAATGATCAAAGCGCCGATCCACTCACCTGAAGGTGCGAACCGAGCACCCTTTGCCTAGCTACCTTGTTAACGGAAGGAGGCATGAGGACTGGGATACTACTGCCTCGAGCTCAATGATCAAAGCGCCGATCCACTCACCTGAAGGTGCGAACCGAACCTCTACATCTTTACCGCTCCTGTCTAGGCTTGGGAACCGGGCACTATCTCCCTTCGTACTTCTTTCAGGTGGCCTGGCAGCTAGGCACCGGATGCTGAATGATTATTATCAATTTTTCTAACTAGGCACTTGAAATGAACCAACTGGTAGTGATAGCTCTCATTCGTTCACGCCAATTCCTCTTGCCTGACTGTTCCAACCAAACAGTTCTCAGCGAAGTAGTGGGTTATGCGTCATCTTATGGAACGTGAATCACCTCCGTTATCCCAAAACTTGTAGCTAGACCTCATTGTTGCTCACCTGCTGTTCACACCAGATGTGTGCAGTCTTACGCAGTCATATGCAGCCAATCGATCGGATTCTTCAATCTGGGGAGCTCAAGTTTCACATCTTTATATTAACACGTTGCTTATTGAGGCCTTGTAAACTTTCCCCTTGATTCCATGGCTTAGCCAGTGTGCGTGATTATTTGGCCATACATACTGCTGGTGCCGAAGTAGCTGTCTGTTTACAGGTTCGAATAAAGCACGGCTGATTGTAAGACCGGGTTCTTTTTACCTTCAAATTGAACATCGTAGTTTTGCATTTCTGCGAAGGGAATCCTAATTCAAACGTTGGAAGTTGCCAGTCTATCAGGTGAACCATGAACCACAAGCTTACTTTAACAGACCAAGAATGTGTGGTCCACGTACTCCTTATCTTGAAGTGAGGCCCCGGACAGTAGTTTGAGACCATTGTGTGTTTAATTCTAAGAGCTGTCCTTTAGGGCGTCATTGGTAATGGGATCTGATGAAGACGAGGAGATCGGCTAACCCTGATGGACACCAACCACTCCATACGTATACATTTGTTCGGAAATACGGTAGTACAAGGATTTCAGGGTATTCAATATTTTCCTGGAACCTCATTTGTTAGTAAACAGCTCCAAGGTGTAGCGGTATTTGAAACACTTACAACAGCTGTGTGTATGACGTAGCCTCGCAGCTGTCGCACGTTAAGTAAATGAATTCGAAAACCCCTGCCTGTTCTTCACAGACAGTTTTCTCACCACGGATACCGTCGACGTGGAATGGTTGCCACAGGTACCTCAGGGGTGACGTTGAGCAAGCTTCTGCTGTTATAGTTATTTCATTTTTGTGAATAGCGACGATATTGGCTTTACCTGTATGGTTGGTGTTTATTTGGAGGTCCAAATGGCCTTCAGCTGTGTTACCAGCAGCCGGCTGCCAGTGCTGTTATGGTTATTTCATTTTTGTGAATAGCGACGGTATTGGCTTTACCTATATGGCTGGTGTTTATTTGGAGGTCCAAATGGCTTTCAGCTGTGTTACCAGCAGCCGGCTGCCATCTGTGAATAATGCAAGTCCGAACCTGAAATCTTGTTCCATTTAAAGTTGTCTAATTCGCTACTTTTATGGTTGCCTGCCCAACCTCCAGTGCGCTTCGATAGACTCGTTAGCAGTTCATTCACCAATTAACGCTTGGCACCCATTTATTGGGCGGTTCCGGAACAGATTTCTAAAACTTTCAGAAGTCGACGGAGCTTTAATCTCCAGTGAACATCCAGACCACCATTGTCGACACCCTTGTTCCGTAGAAACGGATTAGGTTACATTCATGGTTGACAGTATATGTCGTTTGACTTTTGACCACCTGCTCACACACTCCAAACTGTAGTAAATAGAATTTGTCGATCAGCACAGCCAAACAAGTTACTGAATCGTCATTAGAGCCATCGATCTGATTACACACACATCACTCAAGGACGAACGTGTTCATCTATTTTGATGAGATAAGGCAGTTGTGTCTAGCCTGAGTTGATGGTCCATTGGTTTGAACCCTGATACAACTGGAGGATAACGAAGTTCAATGCTTCCCTGTTCGGTGTCGCTAAGGCAGGAGGATGGGTGTGAATATATTACACACTTATTGGTATACCTGAACAACTAAGTGGAAAAATAGGACGCCCACACTGATATCCTACATTCAGCGGCATTGTTTTTAGACGGAAAATACTTCGTTCCGGTGATGTCATTTATTTTAACCGTTCTCTGCAGGCATGTGGTACTTGTTAGTGATCACCCTCTCTTAAAGAGGGGATAAAGAATTGTAACCCCGATTTTGGCGAAAGGAGGAAATAATCATCGACCTTTAATTAAAATTTCACTGCATAGGAGTCACAGAAAGAATGCACACACAGCTTGCGGACGACTGTCAATCAATTAAAGCCTCAATGAAATGGTCGATACAACGCGCGGATCGACAAGAATAGAATATTCGCATTTAGTTCACAACTCACATCGCATCTCATTCGGTTTGCGCAAAAGTTACACCAACTGCGCCTGGTCTAGTCACTAAATCCGATTCATGCGTCAAGTCCCACAGAGAACTTACTTATCATATTGAACCAAATGAAGTTTTTTATTCGCTACTGCTTCGCACGCTCATGTACATTTGCTTTACATGCTAATGCTGAGCTGTAACCTTGTGAATTAAACCATCACGTATATCGTCAAATGTCCGTAGCAACCCCCACTCTTGACTCGCAAACTACCCCGTGATCGTCCAACCTGTTCGTGATTGGGCTTGTTGCCTTTGCTGCAGAATCTCTTAACTATTTAGTTTTCTTTTTCTGGAAACCCCGTCTGCTACTGGTTTAACTGACCGCAGGAGAGAAAGGTGGTAGAAGAGTTACCTTCCCTTGGATATTACTATGGTAGCCCATTGTTCTCCGATACAGTTTTCTTATTGTTGTTCGTTATTGTTTCCAGGCCCAGAGCCGGTGTTGTCATCGGAGTTGCCGCGAATGTCGCCTGTCTTTTGGGCATGTTGCTGTACCCCTTCATGCCAACAATCGGACGGCAAATCTGGACAGAACAATGCAATTTGTCTACGGATGTGCTTAGTCTTCTTTCGCTTAGTCGTCAAGACTATAGGTTAGCACAACTCCTGCCAGCCGGGCACCAGATTGGCCGGGTGAGTTTTTTTTGTTTTTCACCTACCACTGCGTACTTTGGATTTTACGAAGTCTAACATGCACCATCCCCACCAAAAATCCCACTCCATAATACACTACTCATAAAGTTGTTGAACATTTATCGACAGCACACGATCGGTTTCGCCCTCCTCGAGGCTTCTCGGGTAGACACGATCCCCGAGTTTCAGTCAACCTTGTGTTCTACTTGAACCCAGATTGCACAAAATTAGCGAAATACACTCATTTGCAAACAGGTTTGGTTTTGCGAGAGACTCACCTGGAAGCCAGCTGAATCTCTCGTTTATGTTGCTTCCATAATGTTTTCTTCATATTGGGACGACTGTCGCTCGTGAGCTATTGCATGAAGTCGATGTGGACAAGAATGGTCATACCTTATTGGACTTTCTCGGCCATCTCCAGGTAGTCACTCGGGTTTACTTAACACATGACAAACCCTACCAATCTGTTCACAACGAATTTTCTGTGATCATCTAGGATGTGACAGACTGAATAGCATTTCTCTAGTTGCATGTTTTGTGTTTTGTTCTCTCCTGAGCCTTGCTACCACGCAGTCCTTGTATCGGGGGTTTCATGAAATCCTACTGCAGTGTACAAGTGTTTTTTACGGTAAACATGTGATACAGCTGGTATTTGTACAAAAGCGAGGCAGTTGTTTGTGAGTACTGTGCACAGTGAACGGGATGGAAGACCGTCAGTAACTCCGATCGTGAGGTTTTCCGTTATCACTATCCAGCCCGATTCATTCAGCCATCGTTTCCCCAGCATCTCACCGACATCAGCGTTTCACCGTTGGTGCTTGCTTTTCATCCATTCATTTTTGCAGAAGGACATTCGGAAAGCCGATGACGTAGCTGTTTTTCTTTAGTCGATTCCTAAACAGTCGCATCAGCATAGTTGATAACATGGATAGTTTTCGCAAACATCTGTTGACTTATGGTTGTTGGCTTGTTCGCTGAGCTGGGCAATTTGATCGCAATCGTTTCATCACCAGTCGAGTTGTGTGTAACACAACTACGCTCCCCAATAACGCACTCATGATGTCACCTCGATTGGTGATGAAACGTTTGCAATCAAATTGCGCAGCTCAGCGAACAAGCCAACAACCATCTGCGCTACCTGAGGTACCAACATTTTCCTCTATAGAAAACCTGTTGACTTATCCTGTTCGCTACGGGGGAGGGAGAGAAAGGTGGTGAACGTATACCGCGTTCTATTAGTTTGGAGCACATGTTTCGCGGTCTTGGATGTGACCAAGTCATTACTTTTCTCCACGTTTAGCCCACCCCCCTCTTCCGAAAAATGGAGCCCGAAGATATCAACAAGCTGTCCAAACTCTACGGTTCAGGGATGACGGCCAGTTCGGATTCGCCCTCTGGTGAAAGTGGAAATCGGAAATGACCCAATGCCAGTTTATGTGATGTTTTTGCTTGTTGGTTTTGTTTTGCATATCGGCAGTGCATTTGTCCCCGAATCCCATTAAAATGAACTCCTCGGATAAACCGCAATGTTCTTCTCTTCCGTTGATGGGCAGGCTCTACTGGACCGTTATTGCCATGCGTTTTGACCGATGGTGTTTTTAGGCTTCGAAGTGTGTACCCGCCGTTTGCTGACAGAGTTATGATCCACCACTTGACAGAGAATGACAGTAAAGTCTTTCGGAATTGCACTGTTTTTTAGGAATTGCCCATTTGAGCGGATGTCCAAACTAGTTTCTAGTCTGTTGCCCTTTTGAGGCACTCAGTATTCGCACAATGGAATTGAACTTTTGAAAGCCACGTGTTACTGATGGACTAAAACAGACAGGCAAAGTCCAAACTTTTGAGCCTCTTCTAGGCATCCAGGGGTATCAGCGATGTTAGGAAAGTATTCCATCAGAATTTTTCCGCCAGAGGTGTGATTGAATAGGTGGACAATGAAATTTAGTGAGCTGTGAAAATATGAACGTAGATTAGGGTTGTTTCTGGTTCGAGCATATACGCAACAAAATGCAAAATTTTTTGTGTAAAAAGTTTCGTTCCACTTGCAAACGTTTTGCAGCTAAGAGCATTGTGCGACCAGGGAGCTCCCTCCGCTGAGGACCCGCTTTAGCCTCAATATGTCGGAATGCCTGTGTTTTTAAGCTACGGCTGTTCGGTTGCAGAATGTTTTAATTGATGGTGCGAGCTACGTTATTGTGCTTTCTCCGCCGCCGAAGCGTGTCCCACGTCAAGACACCAAAGAAATTGGGTGACGGGCACGTTGTAGCTGCCTGCGCCTTTGTTGATCATTGGACCAGTAGTACAAACGGAGCTCTGTTTCTGGGCTGGGCGTCTTGATCCTTCTGGTACAAAAGCTGCCCTCTCGAACACTGTTTTCCCTATATATTTAGTTCCTAGCCTGTGTTTCATAATCACTCATCTACCAAAACCGGAGAATTTATCAGCCACCTTGACATTTTCAAGTATCCGGAACCTTTATGCTCTTCCCAGTTCATAGCCCGTAATAATAGTTTCTTCGTTCACCCCACTCCTGTTTGGTGCCGCACCCAGGTTGTTCGAATCGTCCTCATTCAGTTATAACACCTTTATGGTGCCTAGCTCCCATGCTACCCGAAGGAAGTATAAGACCTGAGATACTGTCAGACTGCCCAAGCCTAGACAGGAGCTGTCCAGATGCAGAGGTCGGATTCGAACGAGGACCCTTAGGTCAGTAAGTTCGCGCCTTAACCACTGAGTCATCTGGAGCTCATTTCAACATATCAAATATTCAGCTGCGTAAAGTGACCCGTTGTTTTCGACAAGGTCTCGTTTGGATACTACAATTTGAGTGTGAAATAACACAGAGCTACTTGAACGCTCAAAACTATCCAGCACAATTTTGGGTTGAATAGAAATCTAATCAAATAATCTGGGTTTTGCTCTTGTTTGATTGTTCGGTGGCCACTCGGGTGGCGTTGACCGTATTGGCCGTTTTTCGGCCCAGGGAACTTGACTCTCCAGCTTGGCTGCGGTCGTTTCAGTTGCCTAATTTGGTGTGTCCGATTGAATTGTTTTGACCTGGTTATTTGTTTGCACCACGTAGTTTAGGGTAATGTCTCCCTAATAGGTTTGAAACACACTTACACGGTCAAATTAGGTCTAATGAGAGAGCGTAACGGAACTGATATAACTAAGAAATTGATACAATGACGGTGGGAATCCGCTTCCACTGGCAGTGTCTCGTCACCCCATTCGTCAACTATTTGCGGTAATTCGTTGATCACCAACAATGTCGATCATGTAGAGAATCGGTAAGCTGACGGAGTGTTCAGAGATCAACGTTCTGAACTGCATAAGAGCTGTGAAGAACTATCTCGCTTTGTTGATAGAGTACTACTCGCAAGGTTATTGAATCCTTTTCGACAGCACATGACCGGTTTTCACCCTTCTTCAGGCTCATTAATTAGGCGCAGTTCTCGGGTTTTCCTTATGTTCTACTTGGACCTATTGATTTGTGCACTTATTTGGTTTTAACGGTAAACTCAACTCAATCCCAGCTGAATTTATCGTTTTTTCGGGTCGCTTAACTGAATTTGCTGCACAAAAGCCACCCCACGTTTCAGCTGGCACAGTTTTCGAGACGTCGCAGTATATTTTCCTCATGGGATGCTACTTATAAGGTTGCTGAAGGCTCTTGTACACCTCATGTCCGGTTATACCCTTCTTCGGGTTCACCAGGCAGGTGCAGCCCGAGTTTTCGTCAACTTTATCGTAAACGAGGGTTTTACTCGCTTGTTAGAATCAAATCAGTGTGCAAATTAGAATATTTCGCAGATCTTGCTTTTTGTGTTGTTTCTGAGGTCATGGATGGATAGCTGAATTCTGATTGGCTGTTGGCGGTTCGAATTTCGCCAGCGAGCTGACGATGGATTTCGTCAGCTGGTGCACAGGTCTATCCAGTTGGTTTTTACGCCCAATATTTTATGGCTACATGGTTTACACTTAAACGAGATAGTTGAATTTGGACGCAAAATTTCCGGCTGGCGCAAATTGGTGAGGTGTCTAAACGCTTTGCATGATTGCCAGGCAATCGTTCACTCTAGGCAGTGCTGCGGATTTTCTTAAGATCATTGAGCTTTCCATTCTTCGAGTTTTTGTGCGCGCAGGCAACGCACATTACAGTATTAGCATTTTCTGGTGATGGAGCCGTTTCATTCAATGCCTACAGCATGATGCGTGTTGAGTTCGCAAGAGGCTGCTTCAAGTCCCGGGCAAATGGACCACTCCGGGCTCGGTTTTTCGCCGTCTCTCTATCCATTCGCATCTTTTCTCTATAGGACGATGCAGTCGTAAACCATGAATTTTTCTAGAAATACACTCATCTGCAACTCAATTTGGTTTTCACTCACGAATCAACTGAACCTCTCGTTTATGATGTCCTCCAGCTGAATGTGCTGCACACAGGCCGCCTCATGATTCAGTTGGCACGATATTCGAGAAATCGCAGTATATTTTCATCAAGGAAACTACTCACAAGGTTGCTGAAAACTCCTCGACAGCCCACGACCGGTTTCGCCCTTCTTGGGGCTCATCAGGTAGGCAATTTGGGTTCAAGTAGATCATAAGGTTGATG